TCTTACATTTTCAGCCGATAAAACAAACATTTTTTTTTTTTTTTTTCGGCAGGTAGTATTTTTATTGTCTTGCACTTTTTTTTTTCTTTATTTACATTCAGAATGCTTTAAAATTCTATTTACAAGACAATTGTTTATAATAAAATTCTATTCACCAATCGATAGACTCATAACGATTGAAAACAATGTTTTTGTTTGAATTTGGGTTTGACCAATTCGTAAAAAAAAAAAACTAATTCAGACATGCGTGTCCGTCAACCTTAAACAATAATCTTTGTCAATTTTATTTTTCAGTCTTTATGATGGTCGATATTTGATCTATCTCTTACTGTTACATCCCCGGGCAACGCCGGGCTCTACTGCTAGTTATTAGTAAGAGAATACATTCAGTTCTTGTGATAACAATTAAAAGAAGTAACAAGTAAGCAGAAGTGAAAATGCACTGCTTTGTAGTGTTTTTCAAGTGTAACTGCTCCCAAGACCACTCAGTGAGGAGCCTCATCTTCACAAGTAAATCACGTTTTCCTACATCAGAAGCTCTTTCAGTTTTCTAGCCACCCTCGATTTCATCTTTGTATAGTTTCTGATTTCTGTTTTGTCACCTTCAGGGTTGTTCTCATTTTTTAGCATTTTGCTTGCAGCCACTGCTAGTGTTGCATTTGATTTACCTTTAAGATCTCCAGAAGATTTTACTCATTGTTTTGATGAAATAACCAGAAAAAAAAAATGAATAATATTATTTTATTTTAATACAGAAATATATTCCATACAAATTTACCAATTCAAACACTAAAACGTTTTGAGGCTAACTGATTTAATCAAAATAAGAAGCATTTATAGTTTAGTAAATTATTTTGCCAACTCAATCTACTGACATTAACATATAACGATAAAGTATATCTGGCAGCAAGGCCTCTGATTGGGAAATTTGAAGTTTTGATGAGCATAGAACCACCTCTTAATTGCTGTTGTTCCCAGGTTCACCCTGACCCAGGGAGGTAGTACTTGTTAGGGTCCCAGCTACAGTGAAACGCCCAAAAAAACACTTTGAAAGTATAAAAAATACATTTTTATAGTAAAAAATACCAACAATATATTATTTTATATATATATATATATATATATATATATATATATATATATATATATATATATATACATATAAAAAATTAGTGATAATACTTATTTATATTAAAATTAGCAACAATACATTTTTAAATCAACATGACCAGCAATATATTTTGAATACAATTGTATGCATTCAACTACAGATAAAATTATCTGTAGTTAAATGCATACATTATTTACATTTTGGCATTGGATGACCCATGAAAGCTTGATATGTTACTAAATAAAGTTAACCAACGAAACACCCAACATGAAAGAACTCTTTCATGACATTAATACATATAATATCCTACAATTTTTTAAACTGCATTCCAGAATATAACTTCATCAAAACTACAATATAAAACACACATATCACAACCTCTAGTAATTATTATCCTTACAAAAATCTATATGCACAAAAGCTGAGTATCCTCTATCATGTATGCAATTATGAAAGCAGAATAACATATATTTTTATTACTTCAAAACTCCCTAGAAAATAAAATTTCGGCATTAAATGACCCATAAAGAGTAGATATGCTGTTAAACAAACAACAACTGACATTAACAGTAAAAAATGTGGAATCTAAATTTTTCCATCAACTTGCATAAAGCTAAGATGAAATCGTAAGAAACTCTTCATATGAAAGCAAATGTAATTGGAAGTGTAAGTTATGAAATCTTTAAGGTATACACATTTAACTTGCTGCTACAAACTGATAAAACAAAATGACTACTGTTGACAAAGACAGGATATTAAACATGTTCTTACAAGATATCACTGTTTACTATTGACTTGGAATTTAACAGAGCCTAGTCCTGGGTATAATGATAAACTACATTTGGCAGCTAGGTCTCTAATCAGGATGTATTGAGGATTGTGGAACCATGTCAGTTGCTGTTGTTCAAAAAAACACTATGAAAGTATGAAAATACATTTTTATAGTAAAATTACTGTTGTGACCAAGTAAATGGTTAAAGAAATAACAAGTGTTGCAGATATATCATATACTAAACAGTAAGTAAGTGCAACAGAAGAGTATTACATGACTAGTGAGTGTGTGTCAGTTGACCCAGTGTTCAATCTATTCAACTGTCTGCCCAAGGCATTCTCTCTTACTAATCTTATAGTAGGTGGAAGAGTCCAACATAGACTCTTTAGAGGGAGGACACCACAACACCCCCAACTTTCAGCCTGAAACCATATGGAGTCTTTTTTTTTTTTTTTATAATTACCACACAATACTTTTTATTCAACCAAATAAACCAAATAAACCCTTCTTCACAAAAAAAAAAAAATTAGAAACAACCACTTTGAAAAAGCTATATACAGGAATTACGTGCACAATTTTTTTAGTTTTACAACAAACATTTTATGTGTTAACAACAGTCCCTTTTTTATTAAGGTCTCTATTCATTATTCCTAAATAATGAAATGTTGGATAAGTGTAATGGTAAATTATAATGTTAATAATTTCCAATAATCCAATGCATATTGTGCTTTTCTGGTAATTCAAAGTTCATAAGTGAGGAGATGGTTTTTTTACTCATTCTTTTCCTTTTTCTGTAGACATGGTATGAAATGAAAGTTGTTCAATATCTTTTTCTTTTTGGGTTAATTTCTAAAGGTTCCGTAAATTTCCTTTTTCTTTTGGTCCTTCTGAGCTCTGGCACTGATTGCAGTACTGGAACCTCAAATGTGTCAAAGATGACGTCCATAGTGTCATCTTCTATGGGATCCCTGTTGACTACGCTTTCATACCGTTTTCTAATTTGGTTTACATGACGTTTGTGTATAAACTTCAGACCCTGAACCATGTAAATCATCTTACCAATTTGTCTGTCTATTGTTTCTATCTCCCAGTGAGCTTTATTATTCCTAAATACACGAAAAAAAAACTTTTTCACCGATCTTAAAGCGCTTTTTAAGCACTTTATTCCTATTTCCCGCATTCGTTTCACTCAGAAGGAATTTGTCAAATGCCAATTTTATTTTTCTGGCAAACATGACTTCCGCTGGCGTCTTGGCAGATGGAGCACTGCTATTAGGGGTTACATGATAGACCTGCAAAAACTACTGTATAGCCGTATCGGTGGGAGTACCTCTTGCCTTCCTCAGTGCTCTCTTGAAAGTGTCCACAAAACGCTATGCCTGTCCATTACTTCTTGGGTAATATGGTGATGTGGTAATATGTTCGATCAGGAATGACTGACAAAAATCGTTAAATTCACAGGATGTGAACTGTGTGGCATTGTCTGTTACTATACAGTCAACAACTTTGAAACGGGAAAATAGCTTTTGTTTAAAAACTTTACTGTCACCTCCATAGTCGGCTTCTTACATTTCAATATTTCTGGCCACTTGCAATAACTGTCACCTACTACAGGGTGGTAAAAACCATCAAGTCGGCCAGCAAAATCAATGTGTATCCACAACCAAGGACGGTCGGTTTTAGGCTAGGGATTGAATTTTATTTGGGGTGCTTTAGCAGTCAAAGCACACCCTTTGTATGATATTACAGTCTTTTCCATATCCTTGTCCATGTTAGTCCAGTAGACGTAACTCCTCATCATTCTTCATTCTTGAAGTTCCCGGGTGGCCAACATGGAATTCCTTTAATGTTCTTTTTTGTAGTGTAGATTTGATTACTACTCTGTCTCCATACATTAGTATGTCGTTACAGAGTAAACTTCTGAGATATTCTTGTCTTTATTATTTAGTTTGTTCTTTACTTCCTTTATGAACTCATCATCAGACGCTTTGTCTATTATCTTGTCAATTGCTATAGGAAGCTCCTGACAGTATTGCACAAGGTACTTTTTATTTTGACTTCTCTTCTTATGGCAGCAATGACTGTCTTCCAGGGGTTCAGCATACTTAGGTATTGATCTAGAATCCATTTTGTAATTATAATTGAGGAGAATGGTTTCCATTCTTTGCAGTCTATTAGCAGTATGTGTTGGCAGACCCTTTTTTGATCCAAAGGAGTGGACGATGGTCTATCTGCAACAAAAAGTACCTTCCATGAATAAATCTATGAAATTTAGTCACTGCAAAAATGATTCCTAATGCTTCCTTTTCTATTTGCGAGTAACCCCTTTCAGCTGGTAATAGTGTTCTAGATACATGGGCGATTGGCTTTACCTATCCATCCTTTAACTTGTGTAAAATGCACACCCCAATGCTGTAGGAGCTAGCATCACTGGCTACAATGATGTCAAGGTTTGGATCATAACGAGTCAGGAACATATCTGATGTAAGAACATCCTTTATTTTCTCAAATGCTTCCTGGCATTTGGTTGTCCATAAGTACAACAGAAGAGTATTATATGACTAGTGAGTGTGTGTCCATTGACCAGCATTCAATCTATTCAACTGTTCCCCCAAGGCCTTCTCTCCCGCTAATCTTATAGTAGGTGGAAGAGTCCAACATAGACTCTTTAGAGGGAGAACACCACAACAATTACCAACAATAAATTTTATAGCAAAATGACCAATACATTTTATCTGTAATTGAAGGCATACAATTGCATTCAAAATGTATTTAGCTGAAGCCATAAAATTGAGTTCAAAATATATTTAGATTTGAGCATTAAATAACCCATAGAGGTTGATATGGTACTAAACAAAATCAACTAACCAACCAACCAGCCAACCAACATATTTGCCTATAATACTAACCTTATCTGAGTAGGTAGTTTTTTTGTCTCTCTATTATAGCAATAGGCAATGCAGCTGTGTTTTGACAAATAAGGTAAGTTTCCATTTTCTTACGTACAGCTGAGGACAATTTTGTGGTTCCCGTCTTAATTACCACCATTTATTTACTTGTTTCATTTACATAATTTGTAGATTGAAGTATTGATTGATTGATAATTTTATTTTGCAGTGTCCAACTGAGCGGTCACCAGTATTTTCTGTTCACATCCGAGTGTGTGGAGACTGGTCAGGTGATTTGGTAATTATAACATTACGTGCAAAACATTTGTAAACGCACAACTAGAACATGGTAAAGAAACAATTTTGAAATTTGCAGTGTTAAAAATGTGATAGGACTAAGGTTTCTATGACCAGTAAGTTTCCAATTGTTTATGCCTCTCAGGAGTATGGACTAGGTATTTACTCTGTCTCTCCACTAAGATGAGTTGTGACACAGTCTTTTTTGAGTTGTGTTGTACGCCTGGGCAAGGAACAAAAATTGCCCACAGCCCCCACAATCATCCGTTGTGCTGGCCTCAGTGCGAGCAATGATCCTTCACTCTGGTGCAATGAGAGGGCGCAGCCTCAGGCAGCTGTTCCACAAGGCTGGGCACCTCTCAATATAATTTTCCTCAGGTGCAACTCTGTCCTTCATTACTGTTCTTTTATTTGTGGATTGTTTTGATTTTCATATCAAAAACAGTTCTGTTTAGGAATATCATCTTATATAGTGCAGAAAAGTGTTTGGAATTTGCATTTTGCTTGGCCTTCAACAAGTTGGTATCTATTTGTAAAACTTTCTTTAACTATAACAAGCCAATTTATAAATGAAATGTTCATTTAAAATTTTTGTTTAAAAGATTTCAAGTAGTGAATATATCTTTATTTTGCAAAGCAATAATGAGTCAGCAAAGCCTGCTAGTAATCAATAAAGAAGAAGTTTTCTTGAATTCTAAGTTAATTTGACTGTTCAAACACAGTTACAAGGCAGAACTTGAATTGTTCCAGATTTGTTGATCTAGTTAATGAAACTGAATTTGACAACTTTTTTTCAGTGAAGATTTAATTGTTCTTTTATGCTGTCTCATGATAGCTTAATTTCACATGTGCCAAATCATGGCACACTGCAAATTTACCCCTTTTAAAAGGAAGTATAAAAATGAAAAAAGTGCTATAATTCAAATAAGTCACATCAGGACAAAGATGTTTATGAATTGCCATTGTGAAACATGAAAAGAAAAAAATCAACATTTTCTTGTAAAATCCATGTCCCATGTTTACAGCTGAAAATTATCTTGAAGATTTTTGGAATGAATTGGTTAAGGCTTAACAGTTCTTGGCCAAGGAAACTTTTTTTCACTGAATCATCTCTTAGATTGGCTTTGAGTTATAGAGATTCTGAAAGTTTGGCTGTTTGTCTTAGTGATTTATTAGTTAAAACAACCTATTTTGCTGACTGGTACTTAATTTTCAAACTTTCCATCACACCAAAAATGGAAATTATTAATCAAAGAGGAAAATAAAAATTTGCACACACAGGTCATTTATTTGTATCTGATAAATTTAGAAAAAGAGACAGCAACATAAAATATTGGTGTTGTGACCATGTTTGGAGCAGTTATCAAGGAAGTAAAAAGCATTCCCACAATTCATCAGCGGCCAATGTAGAAATGGCTAAAGTGCACACAGCCTTGAAGTGTTGTGCTGAAGATACCATTGAAAAGCCAAGTGTGATAATAAGTGAAGTATTAGCAAATGTATCTCAGGTTACACAGGGATCACTGCCAGATGCTTCGACCATGAAGAAAGGAATTAAAGCAATTTAGTTTTATTTGTTTTTAAAAAGTCAACAAAAAAATTTTTTATAACAGTACTAATGAGTCATCCTGCATCCTCAAAATTAGCTTTGTGCCCCATGTTTGGAACCACTGAGTTACACCTTTTGTCCATAGAGGAAATTGCTTGTATGGGGAGAGTTTTAGAATGTATTTAGCCCAAATGTTTATAAATTTGGATTCTCTTAGCTTTTCTAAGAAAACAAATAGAGAAAAAAGAACTAGGTGTTTTATGTGAAAAATAAATAAAAAAAAATGCATTAGGTTTTCAAGAATGGAACCTAACCTCCTTAAAAAATAATTTTTCTTGATATTTTCAGGTAAACTTCAGAAATTGCTCTTTGGGAATTCCACAGAGGAATGTGAAAATCGATATGTGATTGAAGAAAGATGCCCAAAGTAAGAAATTAGAAAATTGTCAAGCTTATAACTTAACCTTTTTGAAACTAATTTTCTGAGTATTTTAATTTAGAACACAAATGTAAACATTAAGTTAAAGTTTTAGGCATAAAATTCACATCATTTAGATTGAGCTGTGAGCAGTTAAACATATAACAGTTCTTAGCATATGCTTCTCTGAAGAGTCTTATACAGACATTGTCCAACAAAACTTATGCTGTCTGTATTAGTTCTGTTTCAAGAGTCTAATCATTGAACCATTTGTTACAACTTGGTTTATACAAAATTTGAACATTAAATTGATTGTGCTTGAGTAATGACAATAATTACACTGATTTAGCTGAATTGAAGCATGACATCCCAAAATGTTGCTTGCTCTTTTTACCTCAGTAGATTACTTTAACTTTTGTCAAAAAATTATTTCTTCAGTTTCAAGAATTATTGACCAAGATTTTGCTTTTATTTTAATAAAGTCATTTATGATTGGATTTCATTAAAGGTGACAGAGGACCAGGTAGAATTTTTGCAATTTGATATAGAACAATTCATTCCCATTCTTTGACAAATATAAATCTGATACATGGGGACAGTTTGCCTTCTACTTCTGCCTTCAAATAAAGGATATCACAAAAAAAGGTTTTCAAGTTCCAGACAAGTAATCCCTTAGATATTTAAAAATCTGCAGGAATGAGTTTTCTAATATTGTTTTTGGCCTAAGATGCATTATAAAACATTAAAATCATTTTATTCATTGATAAATTACCTTTTCAGGGAAATTGTTAAATACTGATTTAGAGAAATGAGATTACATGTTTAAGGATTTTGTTTTAAATGCAGAAAAATCAAATTGAACCTGGATGGTCCATTCAGCAGTCCTATGGAAGATACAACCCAGTATAGACTGGTTCTTTGTGTAGCTGGAGGAATTGGCATCACACCATTTGCCTCATTTCTAAATGCATTCAGGTAATTCAATTCAGTTATATTTACTACATTCTCCAACATTTTCTTTTTTTTTAATTGATATGATCAAATTAGGCATAAAATAAAAGGTGTTCAAATGAAATATTTTACAATTGAAAAATACAGAAAATACAAAGTTTATACACAAACTCTAGTTATGAAACCTCCAGAAGAGTCTTCTCATTTACCTAACAGGTAGGTTCAAAGTTTGTCATTTATGGCCAGTCTTCTGAAGTCCATGAGATCAATGCAGGCATTCCAAAAGGCACTCCACCCTGTCAGCTGGGGCTGTAGAATACACCAACTACATCTCTGCAGAAGAGTAAGACCCTCCTCCAATAAGACCACCTGTTTGCTGTGGGTGATGATCTGTAATGTCCAAGGATGAAAATTGTGCAGTTCATGACCTGGGTGTATAAGTAGTCATGTGACAGGCAACACTACTCTTGGTCCTTAGGCTAGATGGGCAGTTGGAGATGCCCAGTTTCATCAATCGGTGGGTTATGTCAAGCCCTAGCACCTATAAGCCCAACATGTTTCACAAACTAATCACAGGAAGATCCAATCCTTCATTATTTTAAAAGTACTGAGGTGATGGTAAAATGTGATGGTAAAATGTGATGGTAAAATGTGATGGTAAAATGTGATGACTGAGGGTCAATCAAGTTGAGAAGAAAAATAAACTTTGACCACTGTTATTACAACATCAGTTTTTTGGGTACTGAAATTACTAAATTAGTAATGTCCCTTCATTATGTGTGTCTACTTGTAGAATCTCTAGAGGATACCCTACTGGCCAGTCTGTCCCCATTTTTGATAGAAAAAAAATTACCAACATGGCAAATCCTTGGACAGTAAAACAAAATGAGAAGTGGCAATCTACTTGTAAGCATGAACAATAAGAAACACAGTTAACAGTGAAAATTAAATCTTTCCACAATCTAGAATGTATGGCTTAACCACATGGAAGGCTAAACACCTGCCCATGGCTAATCCCAGAGGAAATAAATGCAGCCTTAAGAAAACAAATGGTCACTAACTATTGAAGGATAACCATAAAAAGGATCAATCAACAAATTTAAACATGCACATATATTTTAACTTTTAATAAACTCTCAATCACAAAAAAAAAATAAAAAAATTAGATTTACAATTGAAAAAGCTGAACAATACATACTCAATCCCTTGAGGTGTTTCAAATGCCATAAGTATGGGCACCATAAGGAGAGCTGCAGAGGACATTTGGTATGTGGAAAATGTGATCAAAAAGACCAAAATCAAATGGAGGATAATTGTGCTCAAGAAACTAAATGCTCCACTACTTAAGAGAAGCATCCAGCCTTTTTGAAATCTTGTTATATATATAAAATCTTGTTATATATATAAAAGAGAGAAAGAAATCATGGAAGTGAAGTATAGAAGAGATATATCTTTCCCAAAAGCAAAAAAAATAGTGGATGCATATATGAAAGGGTATATCCTTGCCAATGTAACTCAGAAGACGAATCCATTTATCAGCAACATTAGCAACAGAATGTCAAGCTCTCATCGAGAAAATTGATGCAACTAGGACCAAAAGCTGCCAAGTCGAATTACTAAATAAACTGAAAGAGCAATTATCAAACCTCCCTAGTACAGCTCAACTACCACTTACACTAATTTCAAAAACTACCTAATGCAAAACTCATTAAGAAACAATTTAAAAGATTACCAATCGGTCCACCAATTCCCAAAATAAATATCTTCAAAATGGTCCCCCACAAACATGACCAACCAACAAAAAAAAAAATCATGTGTGATACCCGCAAAAAAACAAATTTGAGGTCCTAGAGAGAATAGATGAGACATCACCAAAACCTGAAATAAGAATCAAAAGACTAAAAAAAGTAAAAAACTAAAACATTTGGGATATAGAATAATTCCATGGAACTGTCATGGACTAAAGCCATATTACAACAAATAACTCATGCTAATAACAGAACTGGATACTGCTATTATTTGTCTCCAAGAAAAATTTCTAAAAAACGATAACGCTAATAATTTGTACCACTCCAGTAAGTATCTGAATCCTCCTGCTATACTCTACCTTTACAAGAGTCAGATTAGACTGATAGTTGAGTACTGCTACCAAATCTGGATTGGAGTTGCACAATCCTTAATTTCCAGTCTTGAGAGAAACTTTCAATTCTCTACAATGTTCTTCATGATCACCTGAAGATTGTGTAGCAACTTGAAACTGTCAGTCATAGAAAAAATTAGGACTGCATTTTTTTTTTCTAATTGGTATCAACCCAAGTAAAACTGTACAGTCACTAACATGCAAGGTGTTACAGAGTGTAGAGGAATTAGAAACAGAAACATGAGTAATGAGGAGAAAGAGAAAAGAGCATCAGGAGAACAGTAGATAGCGATTGACACTGCATTTAAACTTTTGCAGATGAAGTTGATTGGGAGCTGAGAGTCTTTTCCACAAGTGAGAAGTGTGAGATAAGAAACTGTTAGCATAGAAGTTACAGCTACATCTTACAAGCTTGACTAAATTGATGAGATCTTGCTGACAGTCTTGTATTGCGCTTAAATTCATATAGTCTACGTACCATAGTGAACAATTACCATGAATGTGTTTATAAAAAAGGCACAGAGAGGCAACCTTACAGTAGTGGTCAAGTGACTGAAGTCAAACTGCCAGATCAGGGCCTATAATATTGCTGATTCGTCTTTGGATCTTATCAATGATTTCCAGGTAAATAACAGGGGTACCAGACCAAAAATGCAGCAATATTTTAAGCATGGATGAATGGTAGACTAATATACAAGATATATTCCAGAGAGAAAAATTGTCTTGCCAGACATGGTGAACTGACTTTCTTAGCAGCTGATCTTGCAGTGGATTAAATGTAGTCTTGCTACCTCATGTCAGCTGAGAAAATTAGCCCAAGAAGGCACAATAAATCACTTTCCTGGAGGATAGCATCAGTCATGCTGATGGAAGGCAGAGAGGATTCTCTCAGCTGATTAATGGAGAGAAGTTTAGTTTTGGAGGTGTTAAAATTGACAAGCCATCTTTTGTCCCAGCTAATGACAGTCTTGAGGTCATTTTGTAAATCAGCTGCCATTTTGACCTTGTCAGACTGATTAGCCTGATTAGACAGGAGTAAATGGTAGCATCATCAGAGTAGATGCTAAGTTGAGAGCTGATGTCATTGGGAAGGTCGTTAATGAAGATTAAAAAAAGTCTAGGACCAAGAATGGAGCCCTGGTGAAACCTGCATTAGTATGAAAGGATGTAGATGAGTGGCCATGCAGGATAACTTTCATTTCACAATTTGATAGGAATGAATGGATCAGCTCAAACATGTGCTTGGATATAGCATAACTTTTCAGCTGAATACCAGACCCTCTTAAAGGCTTTTGAGATGTTCAATGCTACAACTGAGGTTTCACTGTTTTTATCTAGAGCATGATAGACTCTTTCCATAATTATTTTTAGTATATCAGCAATTGATCTGGAGAAATGAAAGCCGTATTGCTTGTCTGAAAAAGGCCCTGTGATGAGAGCTGATGAACCTATTCAGGAATATATCAGGGCCTCTAGGGATTTCTCTAAAAAGAGGCAGAAGGCTAATAGTTGGAAGGGTTAGACAGTTCACCGAGTTCTTAAAAACTGGAACAACAGATGATGACTTCCAACAAGCAGGAAAGCAGGAGGCAGCAAAGCATTTATTATACATTTTAGAGAGAGCAGGAGCTAGCTTGGGAGCACACATATTAATGACTATTAAATGGATGCCATTGGGTTCACATACTTTGTGGGGATCAAGGTTAGAGATGATAGCAGAAACCATAGAAGGGATTATATGTATATCACTCAACAGAGAATCAGTTCAAAGTGGGAAGTTAGGCAGGGATATTCCAGATTAGTCAAGAGTAGAGTTTGAGGGGAATTTATGGGCAAAGCATTTGGCTTTATCAGCAGAGGATGATAACACCTCAAATCGATTGAAGAGTGGGGTGAATAGAGACATTGCACTTATTTAGTATCCTATTACAGAGGGGCCAGTAGTCACAAGAGCCAAAGTTTTTAGATGCTACACAGTGCCTCATTCTCTCAGCAAACAGGGAGTTAGCTTCTTTTAGAACTCATTTACATTTGTTATGAGCAGTAGCAAATAGGCACCTGTTATGATGAGAGCTGTCCTGCTGGTATAGCTGGAAATAATGGTTCCTGTGAGCTTTGGCAGCTGAGCAAGCTGGTATGAAGCATAGAGAGGGATTGCAGTTTCACCTGGTATTTCTAAGAATGGGTGAAAGTGTCTATGCCAGCTTTGACCTAAGTAGAAACCTCAGTGGCAAAATTTTCAATTGGAAAGTTGAAGATGCTAGTTCAAAGGGTGTCATGAAGAAGATCCTGGAATGAGTCCTAATCGGCATGCTGGTAACAGAAAAAAATTTTATAGATGGGGGTTCCTGTTTAATTGATGCTTTGAAGGAGATATCAATAGCTACCACAGGATGGTCTGAGTTACCAAGAGGGCAGTATTATGAACCTTGGCAAAAGCGAGAAGAAGAGGTAAGAAAAAGATCCAATAAGCATGTTGCTCAATTTGACTAGGGAAATGAGTAGGGAAGTTTATAATTTGAGTGAGGGATTGGGCAATGGAAAAAATTAATGTCTGCATATCAGCAATATCAGTATGTTTAGAATGTTTCAGCCATGTGTTGTGGTGAGCATTAAAGTCACCACAGACAAAAATGTTTGCAGATGGATGGAGAGAAAGAAAAGAATCTTTTTTATACTGTCAGCTATTGTGTCTAATATACTGCAGTTTTGGGAAGTGGGAGAGCAATGTGTTAGCTGACAGAATTTAGTAGTGAAAGATAGAAGTACATGAAAGAGTAGTAGGTAGTTTTGAGAGACAATTTCCTGGCCATCAGAAGATTATCCCGGATGTAAGCACCAAGGCCATGCATGTGAATGCTGGAATCTTTTTGACAAAGAGGAAGATATGTTAGAACCAAATATTCATTGGTAGCAATGGAAGAATTCAAGTTGGTTTCATAGAGGTGACTTATCCAGGAGTAAAGATTCTACGCTGCAGAAGTTGGAATGGATACCATTAATATTAGAGAAAGAAAGATTCAGGTGGTAAGTGATTTTTTGTTAGCTGATTTAGTTTTATTTCTTTTTGTTGTAATTTCCAGAGGTATATTTTGAGGAGAGAGGAAAGAAAAACATCACCATAAATGTTACTATCTGTTGTCAATGGCAATACAGACCAGTCAGTACATGGTTGAGAGTAGAGCATAATGTGGCCTCAGGATTGCCCATCAGAAATACATGCAGGGACACCTACCCACACGCGACATGGCACTACAGATACTCCAATATTATGTGACTGTTGATTGGAGCAACCTCTCTAAGTGCTACCAAAGAGTTTGGGCTCCTAATGCCCTGTTGGAAGCAGCAGTCAGCAAACTGCCAACCTGGTACCCTAACAAGGGAAAGGCACAGTCACTGGCTAGTCCGATCACCAAATAGTAGAGGGTTAAATCATTGTGGTCCTGATAGAAGAAAGGCAGAGAATCAGTAAAGTATATCCTGATCAGAGAACAAGGGATGAATTTCTACTCATATTTAATAGACATGGAACGAATGCAGACTGAAAGTTGTTATTATAGCAGTCAGTCTTAAAATTTTTCAGAAAGCAATGTAACTAAGTTTATTTTATTGATTCAAGAATTCTTTGACCAGAGTTTCAGAGATTGCAAATATAAATTAAGGAAGAAAGGAAAATGAGAGGAATTATGACTATCATAATAGGATCTGTTCCTTTGTACCAAGTGAATAAAACTTTGTAAGAATTAATAGCTTTACATGAATTACTCTGATAGACAATTTTTTTAATGTCATATCTTTTCAGGATGGGGTATTGGTTACGGAGTTTGTTTTACTAGACCCATTACAACTGAGTAATGAGTTTGATCCTCATTAGGTGCCCCATACTCTTGGCCTTGTGCCATATCTAAGCTGCGCTTAGAAAATCACCATATCTTTTCAGGATGTAGGCAACCATATAGCTGATAACTACAATAACTTCTTGAGAAAGAATGGTTTCCTATTGCCTTCTTTATGGTTTTTAAATTCAGTGTTGTCCTAGAATGGCTGTATATCTTAACATTTAACCTATAGCTACTGGAAGAAGAGATGTAATTTTTTTTTGAGCTGAAAGATTGCAGACCTCAGAGCAGATTAACATTTTTGGCAAATGTGCCTGCAATAAGATAGGATCAAAATGACTTTTTTTCCCCCCATGATTCCACTTTTTTTAAATACCTTCACTCTTCAGCATTGGTTATTGTTCTAAAAAGTGGTGATTAGAATCTTAATAAGACCTAAACATATGAAGATAAAAGTGAATTTATACATTTTTTTTTGTTCTTGAGAATTTACAACAAAAATATTTAATTAAACACTATTTATTTATTAGATTGTTTATTTACGAGAATAATTTTATATTTACAACATTCTAAAGTCTAATGCAATTAAAACTAATGCAATACAATATTTATCATTTACCAATTTATAAAGAAATAAATTTAAAAACAATTTTATTCATAAATTTATAAACATTTACTAAATTGTAAAAATATGTGAACCAATAAGGAAATCTTTATTATTTGCCATTTTATAAAGTTTGGATCAATTTTCTAATGTTTTGCCAACCATTCTAATAAACAATCTAAGTTCATAGTGTTTATTATTTTTGTTGTCAATTCTCAAGAACAAAGAAAATTTATAAATTCACTTTCATATGTTACAATTTCATATATTCACTTTCATATGTTACAATTCTAATCATATAATTGAGAGACAAAAACTCCCATTCAAAAGATTAAGTTTAATTGCTATACTTCTTCACACTAATGCATACTAGTACACTCTACAAACATGTGATGTGATTTGAAATAGGGTCCATCAGTGGACCAGACTTCATTCCATTTTGTCTTCTGATTAGATACAGGTGAAATATAAAAAAATTATTTGTTTCAGTTTTTTTAGCTTCAATTTATCTGAACCAATTCTAATTTTGCATCAGATTGCAATGTTAATTTTTTTTATTATTGATGTGTTGTCAAGTATTTGCTGATTATAAAGAAGTTACTTGAACATGTTTATTGCTAGTTGCAAAATTTAGTCTTTCTATTTCAAATATGAAATTTATAAATTCTTTACAGAACAAATGAAAAGTATAGAAAAAGGTTTCGTAGACTTTATTTGATATGGACAACTAAAGTGGTGAGAGCTATCGGATGGTTTGGTGAATTGATCCACTGCCTCCACAAAGAAGTGAGTAATTCTCATTATAAGCATGAATGCTTTCAGTCTTAATGAATATTTTTCCAGGTCACTCATGCATCATGCTGAATTTGTATTGTAGCAGCCAAATATCATTGCAAGTCTCCAAATAGGATGGCAGTTTACATGACAAAGACTTGTTAGTTGAGTGTTTAGATTCTATATAGAGAGCAAAGTTAGATCTGCCATGAAAATGGGAAGATAATCAACATTTTATGATGTTTTTTTATTCTTTTATTTTTTTATCTTTTTATTTCCTTTTTTTTGTAAATAGTTGTTGGATGAAGGAAAGAACAAAAGCAATGCTCAACATTTTCCCATGTTTTTAGTTATATATTGCTATTCAAATTTCAAACTCAGATCCTTTTAATTTTAACACTTGACTAAAATTTTTAGTAATTTTACTTAAGAATAACATGCAAGTAATTGAAATCTAAGATTCCTTAGGGTGTGAACAAATTCAATGAACAAGTTCCATGGTAGAATAAATATTTCAGTAATGGCTTTTTCCTTATTTTCATTCCGGTGGCCACTTACACTTTCTCCAGGAGGGATAGTTGCTCAAAGAATCAAAGTCCTTGCACAGTACAGAAATCAATGCAACACTACAGGACTATTATATGCTTTGCTAATCAGACCGGCATATTAATTTTAGTTGTTATATTCACATTTCAAATATTATACTCACTGGCCTTCTTCAGGAGTGTCTATACTTTTGGTAATGTTGAAATTTTGAACCAAACTTTTTATTCAATCTCTGGAGTAGAATGTTCTTATTACACTTTCCATGTTTTGGGGAGAGTTTGTAATACTAGAGAAAACAGCTTACCTCCGGAGTGAAAACGGATCTGGATGTGTCTCGCATGTAAAACATTCACTAAATGAAAATGGTAGCTTTATGAGTCATATGTTCAAAACAGATAGATCTCGGTGTCAGATAGATGTTCATGAGAATCTCTTTTAACATATACAAATTTGAACATATGCAAATTTAAACTCAATCTGTAAAAAGTGCTTAAAGAGGTGATAGAAGTGCAACTGCTATGGCAAACAGGAGACACATGTTGTTAGATTGTTTGACTTATGTTGCTCTATTGGTTGAAGGAAACAGATAAGGGAAATTTATTACAAGCAAGAAGAAACTGATTACAGATTTTATATCACTTAAGAGTCAGTCTTACTCACCCTTGTGCCACTGTTCATTTACTTTGCTGGAACAGTGACTTTTCAGCACCACAAGACATTGAATTCATCTTCCAGAGAAGGCAATGTTTTAACTATTGCTTTAATCCTCATGGAGACCTAGATTAGTTCTGTCAATAGTGAGTTCAACTCTTTGGTCTGTTCAATGGAAGAAAAATGGCACAAACGTTAATTAAAATTTGGAATATTAACTGAGATAAGTTATCTCCCATGAAAAGTGGAATCAAGGTGTTACTGTGGATGAAGGGATCTGTGAAGAAGACTGGAAGGTAAAAATTGCTGAAATTTGAGTATAGCAATCAAAATAGCAAAATATTTCTTTATCTAAAATTCTATAACAAAAATACTAGCCAGTTTCTATAGTCAAGTATTTAAATTTCCAAACTGAACAATTTGCTGCTTTCAGCAAAAAAAGTTAGATTTAGGGTTCATTTTATGGTCACCCCCATTCCCTATTTTTAAAATCACAGGTGCAAATACTGAATGATTTCAGGTTTGTAAATAGATTTAAATGAAGTCTACTATCATTTTAGTGTTAGCCTCTAATCAGCATTAAGACTCCTGATCTGATTAGATTTCTCAATTGGTCTTGGTTTTGAATTTTCAGAGCTTTTGTAAAACACCATGAGATGACAGGAAATGTTCAGTATCAATTACTTTCAACTGCATGCAGTCACAGCTTATCAACAATTGGCTTCAAGAAAGATCAACTTTATATTGGTCTACATTTAGCAAATCCATTCAATGCCTTGGAAAGGTGAGAGATATATTCAAAACTAAAATATTGCCAAGTAGTGACATTATTTAATATTGATAAGATGGATGCAAAGAAATAATCTTTTGCTCCCTTGAAATTCTAACAGATTACAAATCAAAAAGGTTATTTCTTTTTTTAAATCATATTCTTGTAACATCAGAAAAAAGTTTAAACATTGAAAGATTGAATGAATTCTAACAAAGAAATATTTATGCCTTGAATTAAATAATTATATATTTTATGTTAGTCTGGTGCTTTTCAGTGCTATCAATTGGCAGACAAGATCTTGTCTCATCATGAAAAAGCTAAACAGACTTAACAAGACTTACCATACATTTCCATGTATAAGGCAACCTATAGATAAGATGAAACCCAAAATCTAGATAAATTTTTGTGATTCTATCTGATATCTGTAGTATAAGACAACCGACGTTGACTCATATGACAATGTTTATGACAAGCTCTTTGAATCAAATGATGATAATTCTAGTAATTTTGAAGGGTTTTAATTATGTGTGTTGGTGTCTTATGTTTTTTATTCTATAATGAGAAATAAAGATTTTATGGCATCTTAAATGTTTTGTTGCTTAACAAAAAAAAAAAAAAAAAATCCTGTATAATATTATTGAAAAATAAAGTTTGTATGTTATACAAAATGTTATTTAATACCAGAATGATAATGAATTTTAAATGGAAATATAGATTGTATATTATCATAAATGTTGTTATTTAATGCTATTATGAGAAATAATGATTGCTGTGAATGCACCCATAATGCTACAAATGAAGAACAAAAGATTTGTTTACATTACTTGTGCATGCCATTCAGCAAAACTTTTACAAATTATTGTGTAATCATCTCTTGAATATTGCATTTTAATGTGAAATCAAGAAGTAAAAGTAGTTAAATTACATTTTTAACTGTAGTACAGCATTATAATATGAATTGTTTCAACCAGAAATATTTACATTAGTAGTTGCCATACCGAGACAGTTGATAGTCTATTGCGATCCATAGCATAAACATACTAACCTTCTTATCAGTGCCAATACATCACAGGATTTAAGGTTAGCTTTTTCTGACTGTTGTATAAAAAGAACCCTATTTGGGGTATTAATTTTTATATTTAAAGGTCGCCTTATACACAGAAATATATGGTTGTTACTAAATGTAACACTCCAGTGTCCTGAATTAGATTCTATTCAAACTAAATTCTCAAAATCAAGCAAAATGCAAGAGGTTCATGCCAGTTCCTTATATTCAAACTTTATAACCTATGGCAGAAGAATGTCTAATAAGCATTAATAAACTCAAATTTAAAGCTAAGAATTCTTTTCGCTGTTCTGTCCCTTTGAAATGTCAACAAATTTTTTATTCTTTGCAAATTGCCATAACTCAAAGACTGAGTAGTTTTCTATTGTCTATTTTGAATTTATAGACTAGTTGTTCTCAAACTTTTATTCTCTGGGCCACATTTTCAGAATGAAAATTTGCTCGTGGCTCACTAAATTTTATGTGATAAAAAGTACACTTAAAAATAAAAGCTGAGAGAGGGTTAAAGGGAGTTAACCACGGATTCAAAGTCAGAACATTATTATTGATAATTCTTTTCTCCAATTTACTGGACGCTAGTTACTATATTCTTAAAACTTGATATAATGCAAAAATATCCCAATGATAAAATTAGTCAATAATTATTTATAACTATTTATACTGGGACTCATGCAGGTAATTACAATCCATAATGATATTTTAGATTTTGAAATTGTATTTATTTTTGGCATTTTCTAAACTGTTTCTAAATCTTCAATTGTCTTTTAATCATTCTGCCTAACCTGCTAATCCTCTTCTGCCTTATAAGGCACACTGCACTGTTTGGGAATCACTGTTCTAGACTAGAAAACCCAAGGCTACCCCTACTATTTGACTGGTGGGAGAAGAGGTGGATTCAGGCTTCCCAAGTAAATGGGTGCAAAAGTGAACATAATAGATGAGGAGTTTAAGTTTATCTGAATAAGGCTGGAGCACACAATGGCCGAAATGTGAATATGCCAACGAAGATGATAACAATAGTCCAAACAATGCAAATAGTCTAAACTAGAAAATGTCAACTTTCTCTGAAAGTTGTTTGTGTACTGAACTCAGTTGCCTGATGTTCAAACAATTACAAAGAAAAGAAAGTGTGGCTAGTGAAAAACTTGTGAATGTTCTTTGTACAGCCTAACTGATGTTCACAAGTTTTTCACTATACACTAGTCTCACTACCCTGGTGTAACATTGAGGTAGAAATAAAACTAAGCTAATATTTTTTTTAAATCTTTAATTATGATTCCATGGAACGTGTATCACTATAAAAGTTAAGAATAGTTTACAGGTGATATATACTGTAAAACCAAAACTACTGCCCCTTGATTCTGAAGGGATAAGTTTCTAAGGAAAATAAAGACTCATTTTAATTCTGAGGTCTGATATACATATGAACAAGATATCAAATGGAATTCTCAGATGGTTAATGAACTTGCAGGATTTTTAAGATTAATTTGTGTAAAATATTCTGCCAAACAGAAGCTTTGAAAATTTTTTAATTAAGAGTTATTAATAAATAATTCTTTAATTATTTCAGCTATGGGAATGTAACCGACCAGATATTTTGGATGTAAGGTTCCACTTCACAAGTATGGACAAAAATCTTTGTAAAGTGAGTTATTTATTCTTTATGCTGAACAAAAAGATTTATATTCATTGAAATTAAAATTGAAAATAGAAATCATTTTTACAGTGAATAAATTACTCAAGTATTTAAACCTATTCACAATCTAAAACCAAGTGAATTTCATATCTCATAAATTTGTCCTGGTAATATGCTTTATTGAGCAAAAGGCTAGTATTCAAGAAAATATTACAATTTCTTAAAACTATGCTCTCCTCCTGCAAAGTGTGCCATCCTTTTGTGTATAGTGTGGATTGGTGGTGTAAACACAAGGTTTTCTACACAGATTTCTTTGTCAAAAATCTATATCTGCCAGTGTGAGAAGAATATTCTACCACCATGTCAGTTTGTTAATTTACTAATTCAAATTTCAGTGTGACACTGACTATATAAGTTGAACAGGTCAAAGGGTGGATGTACAAAGGCAAGAATTGACAATTTGCATAGGTGTGTGAATACAACTGGTTTGGCAATGGCTGAACATTTAGAAATAAACAAGTAGTATGTCTGGTTTTAGAACCTCAAGACATGTTCTGAGAAAAAAAGAGGAAAATAAATATGGCCACCTACAGCAGAGTTTTTTTAGAGAATTCATGTTAGTGTGTAATCTGCCATGAATGGAGATAGCAAAAAGATGAAATCCATGAATATATTTAAGTAGTCATCAATAGTAAGGTAAAGTTTAGCTGACATTTGGGTTCATAGTAAAAGAAATTCTCTATACTTCAGTAATTATTTGAGATTTAAAATTTATGATTTTTTTGCATTCAGTTAATCGTATACTGACACATGCAAATTAAATACAGGGAGAAAGGGAGCCTGGATGCTATGAGTGATATGTCATTATGCTGGGCTCAAGATTCATACAAAGAAAACATATCTTACAAAATTTGCATTGGTTGCACTGTTGTCCTTATCTTTATTGTCATATTTACAATGTTTTGGCCGTTATACACTCTGGCCTTCTTCAGGTGATGTATCTTGGAATTTCAAACCAAACACTTTATTTTGACCACTGGGGTAGATTGTTCTAGTTCCACGTGTTCCCCAAAGACACATGGCCCTTTGGATAAAAGCATTGATTCAAGTAATCCAGTAACTTACCCCAAAGAGTTATGGCCACAGCAGAGGGGGACAAAAACTGGGAGAGTTGAGTTACTAAAAGGGAATTAAATAAAACTAAGATATCCAGAAGAGGTATGGCATGTGGAATTAAAACAATCTATCTCAGTGGATGAAATTTCAGTGTATATCACCTGAAGAAAGACAGAAGGTACAATGGCCAAAACATTGTGAATGTGACAATAAAGATGAGGACAACAGTCTGAACAATGTAAATAGTGTAAATAGTTACAATATCTCATCTCAGAAATATAGACAAAACAAATCTTGTAGCAAAGGACAAATTTTTCCTCAAATGATTTCCATGTAAGAAATGCAGATTTTGGAATGTGAGCTTGTTCACATATCTCGATCCCTCACTTGCTAACAATCATAATTTGACAGGAGATTCAGCATCTTGTTTGACTTGTCTCTGCACAAGATTTGAATGTCTTTCCAAACATTAGCAGGAGCTCTAGAATAAACTGACTGCACTTCTGCAGAGGAGTAAGACCCAAATGAGACCACCTGTTTATTATGGGTATTGACCTGTACTGCCAGAAGATAGAAAGCTGGTAGCTGATCAATCTATGATCTAGGTGTATGTAGTCATGTGACAGGCCTTTTGGTCCTTACTTGGGTGAGATGGGTGGTTGGAGAGGCCTGATCCAATCAATCAGCTGGTCATGTCAAGCACTAGCACCTATATAATTAAGCCAGACAATGTCTCACAAACAGATTACATGATGATCTAATACCCAACCTACATTATTTTAAAAGGGCTACAAATCAGTGGCTGAGGGTCAATTGAGTCTATTACAAGTCGACACACACAGCCAACAGGTAGCCTTATTGGGGTGGTCTTAACTTTATGCAGAGGTGCAGTCAGCATATTCTACAAACTGGAATTTTTCATTATAAATATCACTGTGGATATGTATGTATGTATGTGTGTGTATAAATGCAATCTGATACAGCCATGCAGCCTTGTGTCCATTAGCATTTGTGCAGCCATATGTAAAAACCATATTTGCCTCCTCCTGATACAAATATCCTGCCATTGTTAAATGGAAAACTTCTTTGTTAACTCACTTCTAAACATGTTAAGCATTGAAGACAGACTAACCACAAATATACACAAATGACAAATGTAACCTAGTCTACATGGCAACACAGTGCCATTTACTTTCTTTAAATGTAATAACTCAAGAACAAAGGATTAGCAGACATATGTTTATATGGACATTTTATCTTCTTTTGGTGTTAGGAACCTGCTCCCAAAGTTTGTAAAAATATTTTTGGATTGTATTTTCGATTGTACATTTAACAGCATTTACTGTAAATTTTGAACTTAATAACTCAAAAATAAAGAATTTGTGGAAATATGTTTATAAGGACTTATTTTTGATACACTCTGCATATATATGTGTGTGTGTATGTCTGCATGTTTGAATCTTTTACCCCTGTCCCAAGAAGAACTGTACATATGAGACTAGGTAGGACTTCGTACAGGTATGGTATATACACTGTTGTCAAAATGCGATGTTTTGGTGAAAGAGTTGATATTCAAGTGGATGGGTCAGTGATTGCAGCTAAGTGTTTGGACCAACCCTCCTTTTTCCCTATTTTGGCATATTTGTACTTTTATGTAAAATAAATATACATTCTCTCAGCTCTGCTGTCAGTGTGAAGGACATAAGCTTGGCTGTTGATATTGTTCATAGATTTTTTTTTTTTTTTGCTTTCAACATTTATATTTAATTCTTTACTTGCAAAGTTTTTTTTAATTATCAGGATTTGCCAGAGTCTTGTCAGGAGTATGTAAGGAAACGTTTAACTTATGGTCGGCCAATTTGGAAAGATATTTTTAATGAAATTGTATCCTGTCATCCTGGGTAAGAAGAGTTTTTTGTCTTTAAAGAAATCTCCTCTTCAAGATGAGAGAGCTGCTAAGTGTAATATTTAACATCTGAACATTTGGTTATTTTAAAAACTAAAAAACATGACATTAAAAATCAGGAAATGATAAGCAGAAGTTTTGTATTAAAGAGTGTAAAAAAATCTATAATTTTAAAGTTTCAATTTAATATTCTGAAAATATTAAGAAAACTGCTATTCTTTTCAAGTAGTTTGAGATATGTTTTTATTATTTTTCAGCCATAAAGTTGGTGTATTTGCCTGTGGTCCAAAGCCACTCACAGAAGCCATCAGAAGTTGTTGTTGGAAGAAATACCAAAAAAACACCAAGTTTGAATTTCACCAGGAGGTCTACTAAAAGAGTCTTTTGTTATGTTTAAAACTTGTTTGCCTGAAATAAAATGTTAGGATTTCAGGAAGATTAAGTAATTCAAATTCAGTGGTTACTGAAGGATGAAGAGTGGACTGGCTAATTTAGAATATAGAATTTGGCATTTTGCCCATGTCTAGATATTTGAAATTCAGTATTATTCAGGTACAAAGCCTGAAATTTGAACATTTGACAGATCAAGTTCTAAAATGACTTTCAATAAGTCATCTTCTTAAAGTATCATCCATTAGATACTCGTTGAAGTATATATTTTGGTGTTATTTCCAACAAGTGGCAGCATGTTGGTAATAAGCTTTGATCATTTAAACCACTTCAGATTAATCTCCAAAGTGTAAGCATTAAATGTTCTTAGTTAATAATTTTAAATGACAAAAGCAAAATTAGCATGTGTCTGTTAAATTGTCTATTAAAACAATCTAGTCAGGATGAAGATAAAGTTACACAAGATGAACTAATTGAAAGCTATTTGTAGTTTCTTTCCATAAGAAAAATTCCAAAGTTTTGATTAGTACTGAAATTGAGTTGTGTAGAAACCCTAATGAGATTTAGTGAATGCTGGCTTATTTAAATAAGTGACATTCCTTTCCCTTAACACCATGAATGCTAGAAGGAATCGTTTACTTAAGTAACAATCTTAAAGACAAATATATTTGAGATGATTTATTCAAAATTCCTAAACAGTATTAGGTCTACAAAGACTCAAGATCTTTAATTTTTGTATATAAATTGAAAAGTATTTATGAAAATGAGAGCAACATTGACTTTAGGTCTGAGACCTTAGAACAAAAGTGGATAAATTTTGGGATAAACCATTTAATGTTATCCATTAAGAATGTTCGTGGATGATTGTTTAAACCTTGTAAAGTAACTACATATGTTCATTAAGCTTTATTGCAATAAAACCATTTTTCCATTAATTTTGTTCTCTTTACTGAATCCTGATTATGCAGTTTGTTTATTTGGGAATAGTTTAGCAAATTGCTAATCTACTTGTATTCATATATTGTAGTTTGAAAGCTTTAAAAAATAGAAGCGTCTCCCAGGATCTCTCTCTCTCCCTTCCATCCTCTCAAATCTTCTTCTTCCTCTCTCACAATCTTTCTTGCATAAATCAAACAAAATTGCCAACTCCTATTTTCGGTCAAGTTTTATAGTTTTCCTTCCTCTCCCTGGTTTGCTGTAATATCTATCTATAAATGAAATCACCTGTTACTGCTGCTTCTTCTCTTCCACAAGGTAAGTGACATTCCATTTTCTCTTCTTCCTTCATTCAAACTACATATATGTAATTCAAACATGGGAATGGAAACAAAAAAAAATCAAGGGATCAAGGTGAGCAAGTCAAATCAAATTTAAAATGATTCGACAATGCCAAATGTAATATGAAAAATGTTTCAGTTTAAGGATTATGTCTAATGACTGAATGGTAATAAAATAAGCATATCCTATCTCCCCTCTCAATTATAATGATCCATTACAATAAATATAACGTTTTCATCACTAAAGCTGAATTAAGTCTATTAAAGCTTCATAAGCTTTTGCTGTTGTTACTATATTACAATATGGAGTGTTTAATTACTTAAATCAGGAGTTCTATAAAATAAGTGTCAGACATCAGATTAAAAAAGCTTGGGATCAATTTTAAAGGAAGATAAAATTAAAATACAAATATAATATAAATTAGATTTAAACAGCAATTAGCTGTTTAAATAAGTGTGGTGGAGAACTGAAGGAAAAAGCAAATAAAGAAAAAATGACTGACAGCCGGCACAAAGATTTTGTACATGCATTGAATATAAAGAAATTCAAAGAAAAAAAAAAAAAGATAGAAAATGGACAGCATGGCGCCAGAGATTCCAACGCTTTAGAACAGCTTCGAAGTTATCTGAAGAATCAACAGAAACTCAAGTTAGTACGTTAATATATTGTATGGGACCAGAAGCTGAACAAATATACCAGTCGTTTTCTTTCAGGAAAAAGGAAGATGAGCAAAATTTTGACATCATATTGAGCAAATATGATAATATTTCATGCTGAAAAAAGACATAATCCACGAGAGAGCAAAATTTTACATGAGGACGCAGAAAGATGGAGAACCGATAGAGAAATTTATCAGAGGATTGTACGAACTGGCAAGAAATTGTACTTTTCCTCAAAAAAATGACCATTTAGTTATTGGACTAAGAAATAAGGACTTATTGGAAAAATTACAACTGAAGACCTGAGTTTAGAAAAAGCTATTGAGATAATAACTGGTAGCTATTAACAGGTTAAAAACAAAATGGAAGAAAATTAATGAAAACTCAGATGTAGTAACGAGGAAAACTAAAAAGGCAAAACAGCCAGGAGAGAAAAATTATCCTCAAAATCTAGAGAATGTGCATCCATCCAGATATAAGAAGTGTAACAGATATCACAAGTTTAACAACTGCCCAGAAAAAGGGAAATCCTGTCAAAATGTGATAAAATGAACAACTTTGCAATATGTTGCAGCTCAAAGACTGCAAATCTATGTGAAATAAGGAAACAGCCACCAGAGGAATATTTCCTTGGATCAATATATAAAAAAGAACTCCGAGAAAAATTAATAGAACATTGGCATGTAAAACTAAAGGTAGGTGAAATACCTATTGTTTTTTTTGGGGGGGGTAGATATCAACGTTATTAGTTCTAAGACATTTCGAACATTGAAAAAAACTTGAAACTAGTATATGGAATTTATAAAAATCTGGTGGTTCATTAACCTGTAAAAGAAAATTCACTGTTAATACAAGGTATAAAGACAAGTCGTATACATTTGACATTCATGTAATAGATATAATACGGACAATTTATTATCTAGAGATACAGCATATAAAATGGGACTTGTCGTAGTAGCCGACGTTAATAAGAACAGTGTGAAATTAACTGGGTGTATGAAAGGAGAGCCAGTAAAAATTACACTAAGAAGTGAAGCAATACCATATTGCACATCAACTACTAGACGTATACCCTTTCCAATTTTAGCCAAAGTAAATAAGGAGCTTCAACACTTGGGAAAAGAAGATATAATAGAAAAAGTTATTCAACCAACAGACTGGTGCTCACCCATTGTTCCAGTAAGAAAAAAAATGGTGAGGTCAGAATATGTATAGACCTTAAAAGATCAAATTCAGCAGTAAAAAGGGAACATTTTATTCTACCAAATTTGGAGGATATATCACCCAAATTAAGGGGTTCAAAAATCTTTTCAAAACTGGATGCAGCTAGTGGATTCCACCAGATACCGTTAGATAAAGAAAATCGTTTGCTTACGACTTTTATAACACCATTCGGAAGATTTTGTTTTAAGAGACTTCCTTTTGGAATTTCCTCAGTTCCAGAATTTTTTCAACGAAGAATGGAAGAACATGATCGAAGACTTAGAGAAACAGTGTAGAAGTAATAGAGAAAAATCAGGAATAACATTGAATTCAGATAAATGTGAATTGAGGAAAAAGATTATTCGATATTTTGGATACGTAAAAACAGATAAAGGAAAAGATCAAGGCTATATTAAAGCTATCAGCACCTTCCTCAGTAGCTGATTTAAGCAGGATTGTTGGTATGACACAATATTTAGGCAAATATGTGCCTAATATAGCAGAAACATTGCAAACAATGCTGGAATTATTAAAGAAAGATACAGTTTGGGCCTGGAATGACCCACAAGAAAAGGCATTTCAGAGAGTCAAAGAACTGTTAACACAGGCACCAATATTAACCTACTATGGTCCTGAAAAGCCTCTAATAATTAGTGCAGATGCATCTTTGGGATTGGTGTAGCCATTTTTCAAGAGGAAGATAAAAATTTGAGAGTCATAGCAGCAAATAAGCACAATAGGTCATATACGGTAAAGTTAGACTCAGGTGAATTCCAAAAAAGGAATAGGAAACATTTACTGCCTATTGTGGAAAAACAATACAACATTGTTCAAGAAAGAGGAAAGAAAAGAAAGCAGGATTCATTTAAAAATGTGGATCAAGAAGCAAGATCTAGTAAAGGACGGTTAACATTAAAACCAAAATACTTAAAGGACTATGTGTGAAAAAATAATCATAGGATCTGGACGGAGGCAGGTGTATCATCAGTAATCACTGATGAGTTACACCCCTTGTTTTTGTTGTTATTGTTTTGAGTCCCCGAGAGAGGGAGTGTCGCTCGGGGCAGTTTTGAAAAATGAGTGAAATGACTACTAAGGTTTTCTTATTGCTCTTTCTGTCGTTACAAAATTAAGTGCAACGCTCGTGTATGAAACGATTTTAATGCCTTTAAAACAAATCTACTCTCTTTAATCACACCTGGAAGAAGGCTTCCAACCTACCATCAACATGGATGATACTAACCTCCAGGAGAGTGACTCGTTGCAACTTTTTCGGGCTGACATGAAATGGAAAGATTATATTATGTTATGAAAGTTGGTTTACAGTGTTGTGCTAGACAATTCTTCTTGCTTGAATTTATCTTATACATTTATAAGTCTATCATTTGTCCTTGCTTTAAATATTGCTCTCACATCTGGTTTGGTGCTCCTGCTATATATTTAAAGATTCTTGATAAAATCAAAATAATCTGCAATGTTATTGGACCTAATCTGGTATCTTGGTTTCAGTCACTTTCGCACTGTCGTAACCGTGCTTTTCTATAAATACTTTCATGGTCATTGTTCTGATGAACTTTTCTTCATAGTACCTTGACTTTATGAATTTAGGTGCAGTACTATATTGGTGGCAAGGTCTCGTAAGTTTACAGTTGGAATGACTACATGTAACTGTAAATTTTATGCTAAAAGTTTCTTCAATCACACTTCTTGCTTGTGGAACTCTCTTCCGGATTTTTGTTACCCAGTCAATATATATCTTCAAAAATTTAAATGTCAATATATATCTTCAAAAATTTAAATGCAATGTCAGTCGTTATCTTTCGTTTTCTTAAATTCTTTCTTCGT